CAGCTGTAGTGTGGAAAAGGGTCACTTGGATATTCAATGTCAGCTTTGGACTTCCTCAGTAAAGTGTAGCAAATTAAAGTGAATTGATGCAGCACAAACCATTGCACATCACTGAGGACTTGCAAGTTTGTGACTTTGCTTTTGTGATGCTGTGCCATCTTTATTAGAATAGTGCCTGGATGCTTCCACAGTGTAGGTGCTTGTTCAGCATACACCACATTTAAATCAAAAAGTACCAGTTAATATAACATATCCAAAAATATACTACTTAGCTGATTTAATGAACATATATTTTAATATAGCTTGAAGTAATTAGACTTTTTCTTTGGAAGATTTGGTTGCTGAGTTTTAAGCTGAAGTTTGACACGGTTGTTTTACATAGGATAAATGCTACTAGGATATAATTAAAGCACAATTGAGTTGTCTTACACATTTAATTAGATTTCTTTTAATTTCAAAACTTTTTTTCTGACTTTAGAAGAGATGACTTCATGATGCATTGGAAGCACAATGGAATTGAAAATTAGGCTAGAAGTAGCTTATATATTTAAAGAATATATAAAAATATTGAATATTTATTTTGCATTTAAGAGGCTTATGAAAATGCTAGAGATCAGTCCATTTAAGCCACAGAAAAGCATAATGTTGTTCTCAGATGTCTCTTCAGAAGGAAGAGACAGAACAAGATGCCTGGATGAGTACTTCCAAAAAGTGCTATTTTTGTTTCTGTAAATGGCTGAGCTTGTGGTTCTATGACATTATGATTGGGGAGTATGGATTCTTTTAGTGAAAGAACTGGATATTTTAAATGTTTTCTGTATCTGTTGCTTTATAAGGTCACCCAAACTAGAGCAGAGAGAACTCGATAATGGTTGCCTTTCCATCTCTTAATTTTTTGTTGTTATTGTTCCCAGTGGAATAATAAGAATTTTACTTAGAGTAGTGAATATATGTCAGACCTGTACTCTTTTCAGAAGGGCCTGTCCTGACATTCTCTTTGTGCTTGGGGAACATACCTGTGATGGACAGTAATTGGAACCATTGAAAGATATTTCTTAAAAGTTATATTGTATTTTCTGGGGAAAAAAATATTCATCATTCGAATTTGATAATTCATCTGTACTAGAACAGTCAGAATCTAGTTTTTCCAAAATATTATTGCTGGAGTGTCTTTGCTGTCCAAGTTGCTTCATTCAGCCTAGCTTCGCAAACTGCTGTGGTTTTCTGACTGCTTGTTGCAGGTAGTTCAGTCACAGAATGGAAAATCTTTTGATGGGTGTTTAAAGTTTTATTTCAGCTAATTTTATACTCCCACAGTTTAGAGGTCTGCATTCTGAGACAATCCTTTTAAGACCAAATTATAGCTAATACTGAGAAACAAGATTTTTTTTTTTGGATGTGATTAATCTGATTTATTTTAGGTTACTAATTTAGAACAAGTCAGGTAATACTCCAACACTACTTGTTCTCCTATCATTATCATCATCATTGGTCAACTCTGACCTCCAGTTGGGAGGTCTGGAGACACACTATCTATAACGCTGCTGCTTCCTTTGAGAAAGCACGCAGGATCACTCTCGAGGAGAAAAGACAGCGTAGAAAGAACCATGTCTGTCTATACCACCTAAGGAGTCTTTCTGCTGTGCCTTTTGCAACCGGACTTGTCTATCTCACATTGGCCTCTTTAGCCACCAGCGCGATTGTAGCAAATATGGGTAGAGCCCTTCCCAAATCTTCATTCGTTAAGAATAGCCATGTACTGAACTTGTTCTTCTGTGTTGGCTGTGAGGGGAGGAGAAGATGCCCCACCTTCGAAGGTTATGTGTATCTTCAGCTTTTTTGTTTGTTTAAATCCTGCTGTGAGAATATAGTGTGAAATGGTAGATTTTGTAAGAGGACAAAAAAGGAGGTAAGATAAGAAAGATGAGAAAGAGAAGATAAAAAGTCTTTTTCATTTGTTATCTTTTCACACCCACCTGTAGAAGAGTTATTGTGTTGTGCTACGGTTTACAGCTTCCTTTTTGTTCAGAAATATGATAGCAGTATCATGAAAAGATGCTCCAAGGCAGGAAATTTGCAAAGGAACACATTATCTAAGTAGTTGCAATTTCATTCTTTCAGCAAATGTTTAGTAGAGGAGGACCTGAAGACTGCATCAAACAAAGGGAAGTTCAGTATACGTTTGTGTTTTATGTAAATATGAGAAACCCTGGTTCATTTATTGTCTTTTCTATAGATATAGTGAAGCAGAGAGGGAATGGATTACTTCTTTTTTTTCTGTTTAAAATATTAAAATTAAAAATATTAATGAGTTCTTTTTTTTTTCACTGGGGCACTGGTTTATGAATATCTAATAAACTGTATAACTGTAAGACTTTTTTGTGAGTTAACATGTATAAGATGTACCAAAGAATCTGTTTCTACTGTAGAGGATACATCATTAATTTTCTTTTCTTTCTGGAAAAGTTTTTCTTTTCTAAATTCACGTGAATCTTCATCCTTAATTTTAATTTATGAACTGTTAAAAAAGGCTTCTGTTCTGGAAATTGTGAGGTTTTCTTTTTTAAAAGTCTCAAGGTACATCAGGTTGGAGGTAGATAGATAGATAGATAAAGACTTAATATTGATATTTTTTACAAGTTCATATGAAACTTGTCATCTTAAATCAACCTATTTTGTCCATGTTAAGTCTACTAATTTTCTGTCTTTCTCTAGATCATGTAATTTTTCTGTTAGGGAACTTAGTAAGGGACATGTTGATGTTTCTTTGTTACTTTTTCTGGACTTTCAGGGACCTTTATTTTGTATTTTTTTGAGCTGCAAAACTGGCATTTCAATTTGGATTAATTTTGCCAAATGTACTTCACCTTATCTACTTGTCCAGTCTGTTTCTTCATTGCTAGATGTTTCAGTTTTTCTACTGATGCTGGCCTGTTAGCCTTCCTTTAATCCTTTCTTGTTATCTCCATTGTATTCAAGCATCTTTACCATGAAAATACTTTTATTTTATGCTGGGCTCTTCTCTTAATATGTTTTTTTTTGTGCAGGAGTTAGGTTTAATGAGTGAAATGAAGCCAAGTTTGTTCTAGAAACTGTCTTTAATGAGAAGAGTCTAACAGAGTAAGTGATGGGACCTGAGCAGAAAGGGGAGTGTCATCTCCATTTGCTTCCTATGTTACCCCCATTTTCCAAGAAGCACTGATAGAATTTGCTGTCCATTGTGGGGGATCTGCCTCCTTTTTACTGGGAGGAATACTCTGCTGACATTGGGGGAGGATTTTCTTCCTCCTCACCAAAGGATCTTCTGTAAAAAAATTTGCTGTTGCAGTCTGCTCCTCACTCTTCATTGTTTTGCAAGGCAGTGTTATATCTGAGTTTATTATACAGGGTATTTGAAATATGTTGAATACTTGTTTATTTGTATTTGTGAAACTGCACTCCAATGCAAAGGTGGCATTCCTTTAACAACCAGTAAATGACTACTGTTATGTTGTTTACAACCCCGCCACCTCTGAGTTCATCCTGTGCTGTTATTTTATGGAGTTTCTGCAGCAATCACCTGTATTATTTACCAGATTTCCCTGGTAAGTAAATATCTTAACTAATGCTTTATTAATACAACCTAATCTTCTTGTCCTACAGCCATTAATATTTCACAGTCCAAACCCAGTGATCCTTTAGAAGGTGCACACCCACATACAGACACCAATGCAAACAAGAATGCTTTGGTAACACCTTGCTGGTAGTGTCTATTAGTAGTGGTAAAATCACTGGTATGTTAAAATTATTTTAAAACGTATGTTATGATAATTGCTATTATCAATTGACAAATAAGTACTTTAAGGTAGCATAATCAAATGTGACAACCTAAGGATGTATTTAGGCGTCCGTAATTACATACTGAAAAGTTATAAGATAGGTAATAGAGGAGTTTTAAGATACTATATATTCTTGGTATTCTATGCTACCTTGCAGTTGTGTAATGGAGTATATAATGTATAGTGGTGTACTATGCACTGTTTGGGGAGAATTAAACACCTCTCTCTTCTGCAACTCCCTCTCCTTGAGAATAAACCAAGGCTGAGCCAGATGCTTCTTTGATACTCATCATGATACCGTAAGACACTGTGAGCTGCTGCAAGAAAGAAGCTACAGCATTTACTCAGAGCGTTCACAGTTCATGTAAAACTCTCTTCTGGAGCTGCATGGGAGTTTTGGGAGTTGGGTGGCAACACAGCACACATTCTGTGTTCTTTTCAAAATGGGTTAATTCAGATGCTGTGCTTTAAAAAGACAATGTAACTTAGGTGATAAAGTTTTGGTTCATGTTGAAATGTGAATTTCTTTTAACATGCTTGTGTGAAAGACAGTTTCCAGGAATCCAGACATCATTGGGTTCTGTGCTTTTCCAGTGTTGAGAATCATGTGTTTTTTGGGGGCAGAGGGTAGGAATCTGTTTCCTTTTGTCTGATTTCCTTCTAATTCCAAATGCTTGCCTGAAAAACAAATCCTCCTTGAAAAGTTGTAGTCTGCTTTCTAAATAAATTTCAGTGGTTTTCTAAAAGGTTTTTTCAGGGCTTTTTCTTCAGTGAAGACTGGCAACACATTTGCACTTTCTGTGCATTGATGCAAACATAGTCATCTTCTTCAGAGATTGTTCATATATAGCTTGAGAGCTCTCAAAGTGCTTCTGGTCTTCTTTCAGGTGTGAAATGTTTAGAATAAAGTAATTTATTATATATTAATTCTGGTTAACCAGGCATGATTTGAGATTTTCACAGTCTGCAAGAAATTAAGTATTCATTAACATTTAAAGCCATTAGATGACACAGTTGAGCAATAAATGATTCATTTAGTCCCTGTTAAAGTAAATGTGCATTGAAGTTTCTGACTAGAAGATAAGTGGTGGCTGTCTTTGTTTTCAATTATTTTCCTCATCCTTGCTTTATTTATTCTGTGCACTTCATTGACTTGTCTTTCTCTCTCTTTTGCTGAAACAGAAGAAGAAGAAGTGGAAAATTTTGATGTTTCCAGTCTGGCTGAAGAAGTGCTGCAGAACATAGAAGCTGACAGTTACTGGTGCATGAGCAAGTTGCTTGATGGCATTCAGGTAAATTGATTTTTCCTGTCTGTAAGTAGTGGAGTTAACCAATTAATGTCCTGGCTTTGAACGACTTTAAGGTTGTTGAGAAAGAGTACATCTATGAAAAACAGGAGAGAAGTTGATTTTCCCATTGGAGAAATCTACTGCTAGTTTGGCATAGAAAGGAAAAGGAAAAAAATAATTATGAAACTTCATCAAAATGTCTGCACGCTTTATTGTGGTATGATATTCTAGAGCAGAGTTGAAATCTCCAGTTCTAGAGGCATGTTTTGTGCCTCAGTCACCAAGCATGAAGAATGTTTGCTCAAGATCTCACTGAGGTGCTGAAAAGCTGGCTTACTTATTAATTTTTAAGTCATTAAGATAGCAACCTATAGGTGATTGCTGTCTTAATAGTTCCTGAAATGGTCTTCATATTTTTAAAATATCAATTTAAAACTTGATACTTATGCTGTGTCACTGTTTGATTTTTTTTCTATGTGGAGAAGCTATAAATGCAGGCACAATTTTCTGTTAAATGCAGCAAGTTACAGTCTGATAATGGTGGATTTGTGTGTACATGTTTGCATTCGTGGGCATATAAGTTTATGAAGAAGTACCTACAACATTCTTTCCTATGACTAATAGTTTAATATGAATGTTTCATTGGCTAAGGCACATTGTGAATTGAAACTTTTAACAGAGTTCATGTTTGACAAAATTGTTATAAAATTGAATCAACAACAGAAGTCTTTCACTTTTTTGAAGGTATATTAAGTGTATTTCTCCTGGTTAAAAGTCAAATAGCTTAATATTTTGTCTTGCACTGTTGAAATGCATAGTCATTTTCTCATGTTGATTCCTGTAAAAAATGCTGTTTTCCTTATTTCGATGTCTCAGAACTACTAAATTTTAAAATACTTGATCATATAAAAAATATGTGAAAAGTTACAAAGAAAAAAAGTGAGAACTTGGAAACTACTGGAAAGGAAGAAAGCCAGGTAAAGAAATGCAAGCCCTCCAACTGTTTTACCTGTTTCTGGAACATTGTCTGTCACTGGCCTGCTGCTCAATTTTTTTCCTGGGAATGGAGGTTTAGAGATTAGGTCATTTGTCCTTAAAATTCTGTTTTCATACAAAACCATCAAGTACTGATAAGCAAAATATGGAAACTAATTGTAATGGAATTAAACTGCATCGATGAAAATTTAAGCTGTTACATAAATGGAATGGTACTGGATGTATTCAAGGATGCACTCATCTATCAAAAGCAGGCTTGAAGGATTATGCTAGTGGTGTGACTAATGATGTTACAGTTAATTCAGTGCAACTGCAGAGTGCTGCTGAAATGGGTTTCTTGTTTTTCTTCTCCCCTTCTCTCGTTTTGTTTCTTTTCTTTTCTCTGATGATACCACTTTACTTGCCAGATAGAACAGTCATGTGGTTGCAGGTTGAGATAGCTGGGAAAACTAACCCTGCAGAGAAGGACTTGGGGATATTGGTGGACAAGAACATGGACATGACCAGCAGTGTGCACTTGCAGCCTAGGCAGCCAAATGTACCCTGCATCAGAGTGGCCAGCAGGTCAAGGCAGCTGATTCTCCCCTTCTATTCTGTTCTTGTGAGACCTGACCTGGAGTGCTGCATCCATTTCAGGGATCCCCAGGACAACACAGATGTGAACCTGTTGGAGTGGGTCCAGAGGAGGGCCATGAAGATGATCAGAGGGCTGGAGCACCTCTTCTGTGAGAAAGGCTGAGGAAGTTGGGTTTGTTTAGTCTGGAGAAGAGAAGGCTCTGGGAGGACATTATTATAACCTTTCAGTACTTAAAGGGGGCTTTTAAGAAAGCTGGAGAGAGACTTTTTGCCAGGGCCTGTAGTGTTAGGATAAGGGGTGACATTTCAAACTGAAAGAGAGTAGATTTAGGTTGGACATAAGGAGTACATTTTTTACGATGAGGGAACCCAAAGGAGTTGTGGATATCTCCTTTCTGGAAGGGTGTTCAAGGTCAGGTCTGATGTGACTTTAAGCAACCTGATTCAGCTGAAACTATCCCTGTCCATGGCAGGAGGTTTGGACTAGATGAACTTTAAAGATTCACGGTGGATTCATTGCATGATGCTATGGCTCTAGCTGACTTCCATTCTGGATGCACAATCATTTTTCTCTGAAAATATGGCGTAAGAGACTCATATGTGACTAGTGATAGTGTGGTCTGAGATGTCTGAATAAACTGTACAGGGATTTTAGAGTAGAGGAATATGTGACATGGTAATAACTGCAATCAAAGAATCTCTGCAGAATGTTTCCATCACTTTATTCTTCAATATAAGCTTCCATTTGATGTTGCCCTACCACTAGTGGATAAGTTTAAAGAGTGTATTTTGATATGAGGGTCATCTTGTGAAATTTTTGACTAATATGAACTAGATACATTTTTTTGTGTGTTTGTATAAGAGTGTAATGGAAGAATGATTGTATTTGTATTCCTTTATTATTCTTAACAGAAAACTCATTTATCTTTCCAGCCCGTCTTGACTGTCTTGTTTTCTTGATTCCAGAATTGTCAAAGGTGTTATTAAGAGATATGTATGTCTTGCTCGAGTTTTGCTACACATGGTGTATCTATTGTTTCTCCATTCCTCAGTCATCTCACTTGCCTCTCTTATGTATCTAATGTGACTCTGTGTATATTTATTATAAGAACACATCTTTGAACCACAGAGACCTATGGAATAGAGGATAAGAGCTGGCATTGAGAATCAGGACAGTCACTACCTGACATGTATACTGTTCTTAGCCAAGAGAAGAAATAAAAAACTTGATCAAATCATATGTTGCTTTGGCAGATTTACTTGTGCTAGTTTTTTGTGATCGGCGAGTTTCTATATCTTTAGCTCCAGTTAGAGAGTTTTGCAGAACTTTTCCATTACTTAATGTTTGATATTGCATGATAGTTGAATCTATTTTGTGTTTTCAGATTACTTTGCATCTTCTTTCTGTGGTGGTTGTCTCTAGTTATAGGTTCCTAAGTGACTGCACATGTGTCTCATCACAATTTGATTGAGATTTTAAAAGTTGATTTAATAGAAATACTAGGAGATTTTTTTAATATAAATTTGTCTCTCTCTAAACTGTCAGTTAATCTTGTAATCTGTAGCTGCATATACTGTCTTATAGCCGTCAATTTTGGATGACGATATGCTGTAATGGTTTTCCTTTTCAGTGCTTCATGTTTCTGTGCTCTAAATTTTGTCTTTATTTTTTGTCCCAGAAAGACTATACCCCACTCCAATTTTTCTTACTTGTTTCAAGGAAACAAATGAGAACTTCTAAAATCATAAGAGCATAGGATAATTCTGGTAGGAACAGACCTCTACCCAACCTTCTGCTCAAAGCATGGTCAGCTGTGAGGTCAGATCAAGTTTCTCAGGGCTTTGTCCAGTTGGGTCCTGAAACCTCCAAGGATGGAGACTGCACAGTCTCTGGGGGTTAACCTGTTCCAATGTTTGCTTGTCCTTATGTTGAAGTTTCTTCCCGATAGCCGGATGGAACAGTTTTTGTTTGTTTATGCTGCTTGTCTCTTATCTTCTCACTATACACCACTATTAAAAATAGAGCTGTGTTGTCTTGATAATATAGGTTTTATCAGGCTGCTACTAAGTGCTTCTACAGCCTCCCTTTCCTGAACAACCCAGCCTCTCACAGAGCATGTACTCCATACCTCTGAGCATCTTGGTGACCTTTTGCTCTTGCTCCAGTTTATTCACATTTTTCTTGCATTGAGGTCCCTAAAACTGGATGTGGTATTCTGGATGTGGTCCTAAAATACACCACAAAAATTGAATTTCTAAGCTCCCCCACAATTTGCTTTAATGTGGAAGAGAAGTTTTTAGACAGGCACAACTCAGCATGGGGGAATTATATCAAAATTTTTACTAACAGAATAAAAACTGTAGAAACTAGAAATCAAATAAATACACGGTATTAATACAATCTCTACCACCCCTGGGGTCCTTCCACATCAATCCAGAAGAACTCTTCAGGATGATAGCTAAAGTCTGTCTCGTTGGGGTATCAAGGAAGGGGTGTTTTGCACCCCCACCAGCTCCTCGGCCTCTGCCGAGGTCTCCTCCTGGATTACAAAGGAACATTTGTTTTACCAGGTCTTCATCATGATTACAGGGAGTCAGCTTTTGAGTCTTTTCCCCCCTTGTTTGTGAAGATTCCTCCCAGAGAGTAAGATGTCCACTCTTGCCTCTCCAGGTCGCAGGGCTTCTGGGTCTTGCTCAGTCTTTTGTATACCCCAAATAGTTTTCACCAGAAGTCCTTACTCAGAAAAAGCCTACTTGGTTTGGCTTCTCTCTGTTTCAGCTGCTGCAACTCGACTTCACGTGGCAAGGGGGGGGCATTACCCCCCTGCATTCCTCGTCTTTCAGTTTTCACCTGCCCTCGTCCAAACCCATGAGGGCACCTCCGAGCCCCTTGGCCCATCTCCATGTTTCAGTCTCAGCTCCAGGTCGCTCTATGCCCTGCCATTGTAGGGGGGTAGCAGTGAGACTGCTTGAACTTTTTCTCTCATCCTCTGCCTGGAATTCTTCCAGCTCTGCATGATCTCTGCAGCTCCCAGGCCACCCCTCGACCCGTCTCTGGCTCAGCTCCAATGCCGTGCCTGCCTGCCGGGGGGGGCTATCTCCAACCCCCTGACTGCCCTCTCAAGTCTATGCAACCGCCTCTCCTGGGCAGTGGGGGGGAAAAAACCCCTAGCCTTTGACCACAGGCACCCGGTCCAGTTATAATGCTGTCCCGGGCTACCCCGCAGCCCGGCCAGGGGGAGAAAGAGGGCCTGGCCCCCCGCAATGGGCCCGCAGGCCTCTCTCCTCTCACCTCATGGCTTCTGAATCCCTCTCTCTCACGCCAACAATTTCTTCCGGCTGTTGTAATATCCTAATTTCACAGGGGTGAAACACAGCTCTGATTGGCCCCTGATCGGAAACTCACCTGGGACCAACCACTTCCAACCCCC